ATCGAGTTCTTTGCCTAGACGAAGAAACTGTGAAACTGAAATGTTAATTAAGATGAAAAATAACGTGTTTTATATTTTGAAAATTAGTAACTTTTAAAAACTTTTGTTTATTTCCATGACAGCCCAGATCGCTTATACGTGTTGCATACATGGTATAAACACATCATGCTTTTAGTAAATTTTACTCTACAGACTATTCTTTGACGTTACGTATCTGAAAAAATGATAAAATAAAACCCCATACGGAATTATTAGGTATTATTAGGTTCCAAGTTTGTTTGGTTTGGGTTTTTTTTCGAGATGTGTGGAGCATCAATTAAGTGCCTGCATGTCTTATTTGTTTTATTTTTTCTTTAGAATTTGATTTATCTTATCTTCTTTTTCTCTAAATTAATGAAAAGGAATGATTTTGAACATACAGGTATAAACGATATTTTGTACACATGTCATGTACATGCTGATTTTCTTACTCATTTCGTTTATTTCCTTCTCTGCTTGATATACACACGGATGTGTAGGAATAGTAAATTATGGCTGCATTTCATTTCCGGAATTTTGAGCAATTATCAACTTTTCATTTCCGACATTTTTTAGTTTTCATTTCCGACATTTTTTTGTTTTCATTTCCGACATTTTTCAGATAGGATACCTTTAGTTACAGATTTGAAGACTTTACCTATAAAAAAAAATTAAAGAATACAAGAAGGATATGGAAATAACGAACAGTATTCAATCTCAACGTCCATTAAACAAATATACAAAATAAGAGCAGAGCAAACACGGACCTCCGAAACATCAGAGGTGGGATCAGGTGCCATGGAGGAGTGAGCATCCCCTGCCGACCGGTCACACCCGCCGTGTGCTCGTTGTCATAATCAGGAAATAACGGAAAAAATCCGTGGTCAATTCAGTGTATAAATAATGGACTAACAATTGGTATGAAAAACGTCAGTCAGCATTTCATTCAATGATAAATTGTATTTGCTGACAAGGTCATTATATCGACCATAGAATTTACGAAATGATGACTTTAAATCATAAATAAATCATTGAAATCCAAGTTCTGAGTTTTTATAAATTTATCAATGAAACGACTGAAAATGGAAAATGCAGGCATCTTCCTAAATTAAAGTTCGAGTGATTGACTCAATGTTTACTCTGTGCAGATGTAAAGCAGAAAAAAAATTCTGTGTAGAGCAGTATAATAAATGCGTTATCAACCGAAGTAAAAACTTTCTTCATAACTACATTGTATACTTGTGATAATGCGTATGTATTAAGCAAATAAATAATAATAAAAATGGTGCTGTCACTGATATTTTAGTGTAATTTAGAAACTGCATTTTCTTTTTCTTTTATAATTATATTATATTTAGTTAATACCAATATTTTGCATTAAATACTTTTGAAATTTCGTTTTTACTGACTACATATTAAGGAAAATATTAAATTGCCGCACAGGTAAATTCCGGAAATGAAAACAAAATTATGTCGGAAATGAAATAAAAAATGCCGGAAATGAAATAAATAAATGTCGGAAATGCTATGCAGATTTCCGGAAATGAAATGCAGCGTAAATTATACCATAATTTCTCTTACCTGTAAAATTTTGTATTTATTCTTATAACTTCGTTGCATATAATAATTTAATATAACCTGAGAAAAAAATCAGAAATAATAAATATTTCATTGATGTTTTAAAAGTTTAACATTGAATATTTCAGATTCTGATTCAAAACAACTACGGCAACCCGTAAATCGCAAAGTTTTTACTGCATAGGCCTATGTGCTCCTGAGTCATTGTAAATTCTAAAAATAAATAAATAAATAAATAAGTACAAAATCATTAATATTTTTTTAAAAAATGAAAGAAAGAAAAACATGATATCCATGGTCTTCACACAGCAGTTCCTGATTAAGAGTTATCTCCTTTAATACTATATACTATTGTATACAGATCCATATATTTAAACACCTGTTCACCCCTACTAATGTGTTCGGAACCTTTTATTTTTCGGTGTTCTGCAAATTATAAAACCCGATGAGTTCAGAGTAGCTTTGGCAGTGGCTCTGGCGAGAGTTAGCGAGACTTCAGCGAGATAGGGTAAATTATTCACGGAAATGTGGTTAGGAAGTGACTAGCACGTGGAGGCGTGGTAAACAGAAAAGTTATGTTTCGTTTCAGTTTTCACCACCCTAGAATCAGCTGATAATATACTAGTATGAAGAAATGTACTTCAATCAATCGATCTCTTTTACATTTATCAAAACTTACATAAATATTCTCTATAATACAATTTTATGCAGTCATGAATTAAAATTTCTTTTTGGACAAATATTTTTTGCATGGGAACCGGGACTATATTTTTTGGCGTCAATTTAGCAAATGAGGCACCAGCATGATTTTAACTGACCAATCAGCTGAATGAGTATTGCATTATGGGTTACTACGAATACTACAGGAATTTTACGCTTGAAATAAAAGGAAATATCTTATGCTAAATGAAAAGCATTTTTAAAAATATTATTTTCATGCTTATAATGACAAACAATTCATTTGTTAAATTAACCGCGGAAGTCTAGGTTTCTGAAAGTCATACTGCAGAAGCGATTTGCGTCTGTATTAATTCCTTTGTTGTACTATCGGTGAATACAATTGTCAGGTGAATTCCCTGGCCGAACACGTGATCACGAACGTCAACAAAGTTTTGTCCATTTAAATGCATAAGAGATGCTGCTCGTTTTCCTTACCCTTGAAGCGCTGGTGTTTTAAACTAGACACAAACTACATTTTATTAAACATTTTTTCTATTTAAAAATAAATTAAAAACGCCCGTAACATCTTTCCTAGTTTCTTATCTTTGTATTTTGTTCGTAAGAACATTTTTTTTATTTTGCAGTCCATTAACATGATCGTAGATTGACCTGAACTACGTGTTCGAAGTAAAATGTAAACATGTACATGTATTTGGCGTAAACATTGCTACCGGGTATTCATTCAACGATTGGTCAGTTGCTCGAGGTAAGATCCTCTGTGCGCATTTATAACAATAGCCATATAAGGCAAACAAAGGTTTGTCAGTGTAGATGGTTTTTTACATTTTTTTCGGTCACTAGTGAGCTTTAATTTTCGCCGAAAAGTATAAGATATATTGTTATTTTTACACCCCCTCCTTTAGTCACCCTTTGTCAGTTGAAAATCATGAAAGTCTTTTAGAAAGGTCTGGAAACATTTATCATGTTTATTACAGGACATGTTTTCAAAAGAAACAGGCTATAGCAATATCATGTTTACTGCCAATTTTATTTCTTAAACCGGTTCTACCCTATAACCTTTGAATAGATCAACCTAAACCACGTGTTTTGAATTTAAATCACAATAACATTAGTAGGGGTGTGTTGTGTTGAAAAGGAAGTCAAAGAATATAAAAATTTGTATGTGAGCATCAACATTTATTTTAAAAATGAGCTATCATATTTTGACTCTGGGAAGTCAGGAAAAAAATGTACATATCACAGCAAATTCCGTTTAAAAATCGATTTGGAGGGGCTTTGAAAATTTGGGACCGCTTTAACCAAACTTCAAACGTTTTTCTATTAAAAAATATGTCAGGGGGCACTTTGACCAAAATCTGGGGGCGCTTTGACCAATATTTGGGGGCGGTTTGGAAACTTCACTTTCTATAAAAATATGTCAGGGGACGCTTTGACCAAAATCAGGGGGCGCTTTGACCAAAATCAGGGGACGGTTTCGTAGTATCATTTTTCTATAAAATATGTCAGGGGGCGCTTTGACCAAAATCAGGGGACATTTTGACCAAAATCAGGGGGCGCTTTGACCAATATTTGGGGGCGCTTTGGAAACTTCGTTTTTCTATAAAAATATGTCAGGGGACGCTTTGACCAAAATCAGGGGGCGCTTTGACCAAAATCAGGGGACGCTTTGACCAAAATCAGGGGGCGCTTTGACCAAAATCAGGGGACGCTTTGACCAAAATCAGGGGACGGTTTCGTAGTATCATTTTTCTATAAAATATGTCAGGGGGCGCTTTGACCAAAATCAGGGGACATTTTGACCAAAATCATGGTACGCTTTGACCAAAATCAGGGAACGCTTTGACCGGGACGGTTTTAATTGGGAACGCTTTGACTGGCTCCCGATCTTCCCATGTGACCTTGACCTGAACTCCTCATTCGGCATTTACTATTAGTCATATTTTATGATCAACTCGGACTGGAGAAGCATTTCATGTTTCAATATAAATACCGTATAATCCCCATTAACTGCCCCTACCCTATAAGTGCCCCCTTAGGTCTTTTTCAATTGTCAGGAAATAAGGGCCCCCCTGTAATTGATTAAAATCAACCAGAATCGTATCAAAAAAATGAAGAAAGTGAAAATGAAATTTGTCTGTCATCCAATTTCTCAGTGGAAAACGAACAATTTAGCATAAATTGGGTGGATTATCTTCACTTTAAATAAAGTTAGACATTATCTTAGTTGTTTCTTGTATTTATTTTTATTTTCAAATGATTTTTTAAAGTTAAAATATGACATTAAATATCATAAAGAGAACACCAATACAACCGCCCCCTTTTTGCAATTATCTAAGCGCCTGGGGCGGTTAATAGGGATTATACAGTAGTTATGACATATTTTATGATCAACTCGGACTGGAGAAGCAAGGTGCACTGCTTTTCATGTTTCAATATAAATACAGTGAAACCTATCTAATCCGACATACACTCAGATATAAAATTTGTGTTGAAATTGACCAGTGTTTGATTGCAAAGTAAAAAGAAAATTGTAATTCTGGAAGAATTTAAATAAGGGTTAGAATTCATTCATTAATGCATCTCAAGTTTCTCAACAATAGTTTGTTACTAAATCACTTACATATAACGATTTCAGTGCAGTCAGTGTAATTGTTTTTAATAAGGGGGGGGGGGGGGGCAGAGTACAGAATACATGATGATATTTTTTTGTATTTTTTCTCCAGGGAGAGACCATCAGTCAATTGAAGAACGGAATCCTTGTCAAGTCTTTCCGATCCCTTCTACCAGGAGGGTTTCCTTATGAAATGGCACATAAAGGTATTTTAATATCACAAGAAATGGCACATAAAGGTATTTATCACAAGAAATGGCACACAAAGGTATTTATCACAAGAAATGGCACACAAAGGTATTTATCACAAGGAATGGCACACAAAGGTATTTATCAGACAAGTTATGGCACATAAAGGTATTTATTAGGCTAGTGCATAGATACCTGAATTTATTCATCAAAATTTGGATTTAAGGAAGAAGTCCAAAATTTTACTCAAAAACAAATTAATTCAGCTTCTATAGATTAGAAAAACAAGTTGGTAGCTCATAAATTTTTGCCTGTGTTGACAAAATTTAAAAGGATATGCTTGACTAAGCATAAGTTTGCTTGACTAAGCAAAGTTTAGTCACTGCATGTACATGTAAAGCATTAGATGACATGGAATGATATTGTCACTTACATGACAGGGTTTCAGGCATCCTGTCATTTGTCCATGGTTATGTATACCTTTATTATACCTATTTTATTTCACAGGTAAGCAACTTTGTCAAGACATGGAATGATATCAGGTGGCACTCATTTTTCCATGATTTTTGTATGTATTTTATTTCACAGATATGTGTGTAGTGGACACAATCTACAACAAGCAGACAGACACATACTACATCATGGACTGTATGGTCTGGAATAGCCAGCATCTAACACAGTGTGAGGTATGCAAATTAGAAACTAAAAGTACCTCTTCCTTTATAATGTACACATACAGTGTATTTGTTATAAATGTACACACATTTAATATCTATGACCTGTAATAATAATTGTAATTCATTGCTTCTGTCCTGAAAACATTTCATATAACATGCTTCATAAATAAGTGATTTTACTTTTGCCAGGCTGAATTCCGCATGTATTGGTTAGAGGAGCAGCTAGGACAAATCAGAAACATCGGAAGAGTTTCCCGTAACAATCAGGTCAGTAGCTCAATAAAGCAATCTCTCGATGGAGCAGCAGACCACAGATCCTCTAGATATGTGTTGGGTTTCTTTTGAGTGTTCTTTCTGTGTAGCTAATTCATCAGGGTAAAAATATGCCCCTCTGTAATTAGTATATCTAATATATACACTGTAGCATGCATATATTTGCGTGTACTTATTTTGTTTCTAAATGATTGTTGAAAATTTCAAACTGTTAATTTCCTGAATTTTGCTTGATATTTAGGAGAAAAATTATGTTTAACTTTCAAAGAAAATTGTACAACTTGCAGAAAGAAATGTCACTTTTATCCCAAATTCCAAGTTCAAATCAATAGAGCTACAGTAAGAAGTTACATGTAAGCACTTTCATTATTTTACAGCATCCATTTATTCTGTTGAGACGCATCCCATGCACGGCACAAGCAATAACGGAAGAGCTCGTCAGAGTGGAATACGATGTAAGCTTTCAAAATTTTACTGAATTTCAGCTCAAGTTACATTTCTGTATTCCACTTTATTAGGAATCTCTTAAATCAATGTTAGATCAAATTCAATGTATTATATTTCTTCATTGATGCAGATAGATGGAGTCCTTTTCTTTAAGAAGTCATCAGCCTACGTCCCTGGGCAAACAGATGATGTGCTATGGACCAAGCCTTACATGCTGCCAGAAATTTTCTCGGATGTAATCGTTCCATCACACCTCTTGAAGAGGAAACCCCCAGAGTTTGACTATCAGAAACACCTGGAGAAAGTCGCTAAACAGAAGAAAGAGCGCGGAGAGCAGAAGAGGCCCCGCAGAAAACAGAAGACGCTAAATATAGATAAACTGGTGGACGACATCAGCCGCATCTACATCTCACAGCAACAGGAAGCTGGGGTGGAAATGTCACCAGAGGAAGTGGAAATCTCCAAAAGATTAAACCAGAAGGCTAAAAAGGTACCCCAGGGAAAAGGTCGTGGCAGAAAAATGGGGGACTACAGTGCTTTACAAAAGAAAGAAATCACTTTTTATGGTGATGATTTTTCCTATGATGACTATTGTAACTCTAGTTACTATGGTGATTACTGTTACTATGGCAACCAGGTTTACCCAGGATACGATGGCTGTGGGGGAGACGCTTATCATTCCATGTCCACCCCAATGTGGGGATACGAGGACCATGTCAGACAGTGGAACTCTCCATCCCCACCCAAGGGCAGGGGGAGGGGTTTGCTGGGGCTCAAACCCTTGACAGGCTATTCCAACACGCATGGCACATTCAAGAAGTGATTATTTTTTTCTTCATCAGTATGTGTACTATTTGAACCTGACTCATTATAACAGTACAACATGTCTCTAAAGTGTTCACTTTTGTTTATGGTTTATGTTTGATTATTGAAAGGGTGCTAGATTATCACCTGCTTATTATGATTTTATGTTTTAATAAACAAGTGAAGTTGATTTTTGGTTTATATGTTCTACAGTTACACAGGATCCTGCATAAAAAAGTGGAATTTTTAGTGAGACACATTGACATGATATGGGAATGATCAAGTTTGGCACCTTATTTGGTAAAACTAAAACACAGTGAAAGTTGGGATACTTTGCAATTACATGTAAGAATGTAAAAATATTGCTTGCTTTAAAACGAGAACTAAATTTCATTCAAACCTTATATTTAGGGCACAAGAGGGTGCCAAAGTGAGTCATTTTACCAATTTTCCAGTGGGGGGGGGAGGGAGGGTGGTGGTTCACGATTTGAACAAACTTGAATCTACACAACCTTAGGATGCTTTCATACATGTATTTCTAGGACTAATCAGTTTGAAGCATCATTAGGAAATTTAAGTTCAGAATAGTTCAATTCATTCCCACCCCCACCTCTGGTTTGGATGGGGCCTATAAGTGATATCGATCCAAGTGTTACATAGAACTACACAAAAAATTTCTCTAGCCCAGTATTTAAAGCCTTGATTGGTAATATGGAAATGGAATCCTCCTTAGGTAGTGCAGATTCAAGTTTTTTTTCAAATCATGACCCTGGGGTTGGGTGGAGCTACTATGGGGGATCACAGTTTTACATAGGAATATAAAGAAAAATTCCTCTTGGACCAGCAAAGCCATGATTGGTCATTCAAATGGTTCTGTCCATACGTTGTGTTCAAATCAAGACCCCCAAGACTTCTATGAATTCCTTTGTAAAACTTTCATCACCAATTGTGCTCCCACCCAACTCCTAGGGTCAAGATTTGTACACTATCTGAGGATGCTTCCCATTACAATGTGGCTATAAATCACGGCTTTGTTATTCTTGATATGAATTTTGAAGTGTTTTTTCCTACATATTCCTTCAGTAAAACTTTGATCCCCAAACCTACCCCCAGGAGTCATGAAAATTTGAATAAACTTCAATCTACACAATTTTAGGATGACTTCATATCAATATGACAAATCATGGCTTTGTTAATCTTGAGAAAAAGATTTTAAAAGATTTCTTTTATATTCCTAAATGTACATGTATGTAAAACTTTGAGCCCTAATGTAACCCCTTCCTTCCCCTTATTTGAACATTTTTAATTTTCACAATGCAATGATGGTTTTACACAAGTTTTTCTTTTTGGTCCAGTGGTTCTTGAGAAGAAAAGGTGATATAATGTACCACAAATTTTTAAAAAATTCTTAATTATCTCCCCTCGAAAGAGACTATGGCCCTTCATTTGAAAAAAAATGAATTTATTTCAATCAGATGAGCTTAAAAAAAATAAAAGAAAAAGTTTTGACCTTTGTCAAGATTTTAAGATTTTCTTCCCTTTCTTTGCTTGCTCAAGAACCTCTTGCTACATAATTGTGCTAAAAGCATTTAAATTCTTACTTCACATGGAAAAATAATTCATGGTCTGTTAACAATGCCATTACCTGTACAATATGAATCAAAACACACATCAAGGAAATACAGTATATTTATTAGACACCACATGTAAACATCCAAAAACTGAATTCTTAAAGAAAAAACGAAGCATATTATACCTACAAGTGTCAAATAAAAAAATGTTGCTATTAACATAGCTGTGTTGATGCAAAATTTCTATGCATTCTGAATGCTGCATTTGCATTATCATTCAAAAACAAATCAAGAACTGCATTTGCAAAACATTGTTTTTAACATTTCTGGAGGGCTAAGAAAAAAAAAAAACCTGGTAGATGTATCAGTGAATAATTTGAAATTTTTTTTCAAAAATGAAATGAAGGAAGGAAGGGTATAAATTTCTGAAAATATACATGAAAATTTAACTTTTCTATACACTTAAAAAAAAATTACATGTACCGCTTAGTGCACATTTCCTGTGTAAGGCTCTATTTACCGGTAGTTAATTATGAATATAAGTAAAGTCTGCATTATTAAATTATAACTTTCATACTCTCACAACATTGTAGATGTATTTCAAAAACCATGATTGGTTGATGACATCCAAGATGCTAGAGATAAACAAATGAGTTTTCCTATACTGTATGAAATATTTTTGTGTTAGATAACTGAAGAAAAAAAATAAAAGAATAAAAAATCCTTTTCTATCACAACAAAACTGAAAAAAATGAGCACTTGTTCCATCTTCCGTGACGACAATCTTCAGAAATTCCAGACATTTATAATTAGGACGTTATCCTAAAAAGCTCTATGAGAATTCTTTTACAGCTTCATCTATTTCATCAATCTGTTCTTTTAATCTGTTCCATTGATCTTTTGTCAATGAGATACCTGAAACAGAACATGAAAAATAATGATGCATGGTGATGGGGTGAATACTCAGGTTATTACAAAATGGAAGTGTGCACGTCCAATGTTTGTTATGGTAGTACTTAGTCAAACATTGTTAGCTTGAAATCAATTGAACCAAGAAAAATTTTTGAAATATATTACCTTCCAGATATGGAGGGTAATTACATATAAGGCCATTCCAAGTTTTTTCTATGTTTAGCGTCCACGTGCGCCTTGGTTTTTGACACCCCATATAAAAAAAAACACAACATCAGGAGTTGTGAAATTGGTTAATTTAGTCGAAAATTTTGAATTTTGTAAATTTCTCCAAATAATTCTGTACAGTAAGTTATATTGGGTGTATATAAGGCATTTAATCCCTTGTTTTTGCTAAGAATAGTTATTTATTCCATTAAAGCAGTTTAGTTAGATCAAATCATTTGAAGGGCATCATTTTTATGACTTTTAAGCCTGTGTTTCATGTTTTGGCTTGTGTGTTTTTTGCGAATAGGTATTCAAAGATGGGTGGACAAGAGAAATAATTGAAAAACAAAAATTACAACTCATCCAAGGTTTCAAATATGTACAATGTACAACAAAAATTACATAAGTTTACATAATTCAGAATAGCTTTCTTGCGTACCTTTTTTTCCTGGCTTGAGTTCTCCCCCGGCATCATAGAATTCTCTTATTCCTACCATGACATTGCCTCGAAACTCACTGACTGTGGCATATCTCATCCGCGAGAGCTACAAAAGCAGTGTTCAAACACGTAAAGAATGTTGAAGTGTATGAATTAATTGGATTTCCTTAAATTACTTTAATAATGACACATTCATTTATTTGCAATAAGACAACGTATAGTAATGTAATGGTTTAGGCCATGGATATCTGAGCCTAGATAGCTCAGATGGTAGAGAACCTGACTAGTGATGTAGGGGTCCTGGGTTCGATTTTCGGTTCAGCCATATGTTTTCTTCATGAATTTTCCCCTTTCTTACTGCAGCATTAAAGCTTAATTTTAATTTTCTAAACACACTAAATGGTTTAAAACTTGATGCCTGTCATCTGTCACCTTTTTTCGATCCATTATGAATAACTTACCTGAAACATGTGCTCGCCGCCTGGGCCTTTTGAAGATGCTGATTTTTCTTCTTTTTTGGTCTCCTTTTTCTCTTTCTTTTCTACCTTCTTCTTTTTTTGTTTAGGCTGAAAATAACAATGCATATAATGCCATTCTAGTCTGGGTTATGTATAACTAAATTTTCTATTTTTATCTCTTTAACTTTGAAAAATCTGGGTTTTAAGCCATACGCATAATCGTGATAATATGATAATGTACAAATCATTCTAAGCAACAAAAATAACTTTTACAATTCTATAATTTCAGCTCCTCTCTTGTATCTTTCATGCTGAAAGACTGAAAACTTAATTGTCAATTCATCCAGATGCTCCACTGAGCACTCACTGACTCAGCAGCTGTTTAAAAATGTCGGAAGATACAGACAAAGCACTTCACTTACCTGGTCATCTGAGTCTGATTCTGAAGAGGAAATGAATTCTTTTGATTTTGGCATCTGTAAAAAAAAAGAAAGAAAAAAACACTTTTACATAAGATGTATATTTAAATAATATTGGTCTAAGTCCGGTCCTGCAAAAAATTCAAAGCTCATCAGATTATCATTATGTATCAACACCTGAACTGAACACGATCTGCCAACCGTGAGATCGGAAGACTGATTTTCTTTTGTTCTCTGTCAGATACAGGAATAGAGAATATCTTTACCTTGTTTAAAATAATTAACTTTAAAATTCGACAATCTGCTGAATTATGTCGTGTCTTCTTTCAGATCCCTTTGTATTCCTTTTCCTTGATCTTCTCGATAATTTTTGCTTTCCTTTCCCGCAAACTTTTGTAAATTTTTAGTATACCGATCCCGATATTTTTGAACAAGGTAATTTGGTCCGTTTATTACGGTTTTGTTTTTGCATGTTTGTTTTGTTGTCTGTTTTTCTTTTAATATAAAAAAAACAAAACAAATGTAGACGAGTAAGAATTCATTTTTATTTCCATTATAAATATATGTGTTCTTAAAAGTCTAATTAAATATGATTTATAATTATCACAATGAACATGATGAAGGTGTTAATAAGGGCATGTACACCCTTTTAGGCCTTTTAATGTTTTTCAAAAATAAATGAATGTCATATGATACGTAAGTGGTGGTATCATGATATTTGATCTGTATAATCAACCGGTAGTTTTGAAGAGTCTATTGAATTATGCTTTTTTTTATTTATCTGAGCTTTTTAATTTTATTTAAAAATTCACGTTCACATAAAGTAAAAATTAAAGTACACAGCGGGTCGTTCAATCAGTAATTTGAAAATATGCGTATATTGTTTTAAACAGTCATGGCTTGGATGAAAAAATCGGTGTAAAAGAAAAGGTCTCAATAATTTCTAAACAACCCTTACATCAGAGCCGCACCCCCCTCCCGATATTGACTCCTGGGGCCTAATTTTCGACCTCTGCTCTAAAAATTTATTCTTGAAATACTTATTTCTGATAAAATCTATACAATAATAAAAACAATCTAACATTTAATAAAATTGTTTTCCCACTATATCAACAACGCCTTGTTTATTTCAGAAAAATTGCTGAGTCGATCTACAGCACGTATTCCCTTTGAAATTACCGACGACAATTACAAATCAAAATTAAGGAAAAACCATATTATCTAAATTAGCTATTTTACCAGTTTTCAATATCTATAAAATACACTACATGTATATTATACATTTATCCATATATTAGAAGGGTGGATCCAGTTTTTGTAGTTGTTGAAGGAGGGGAATATAAAGAAAATGATCTTTGAAGAGGAAGGTACTATTCGGACCCTCCCCCTGGAATTTGCAGAGTTTTTTATTTTACATCCTAAACCAAGTAAAAGTGACCTTGGACCCCAACCCTCCGTAAACGCGAACCCCTCTTCGAAAACGCGGATCTCTGTGAAATTGCCCTGAAATAAGTTTTTTCACGTTTAGTAAACAGTTACGTTTTTTTATTGCTTGTCAAGAAATTTCTTGGTTGGAAATTTTTTAAAGTATGGTTGAACACCCCCCCCCCTCGGAAAAATTCCTTGATCCGCGCCTACAGTGTATCAAAGATTAAAAGGCCGAGGCGAGGGCTCCTATTACCTTCAGCTTGACAGTAACAAAGTTTGGAGCTTAGAGGGACACCGGCACCATCTTTGATTAAATTGGTTATTTACTTGAAAGATTTACAGCGATAAAAATATTAGAGATCTATATAGACATAAACTGATCTAGTAAACATTTTCAGATCAATTGACGGACACCTACATGTTGACATGTAGCATATCAGGCCGCGAACCTCGCTTGTTTAAAATAAAATATAGGAAAAATATGGGAAAGCTCTCTCTCTCTCTCTCTCTCTCTCCTCTCATATCATTTTACGAATATTTTTTTTGACAATGCCTTAGTGCTAAAACCGTTATCTGCCTTTTAAATCATTGTACATATCTTCTCCATGGCTGAATAATCAAACAAATTGTCATCAGATGGGATTTAAAAGCATGTTACAGATCTTTAGATGTACATTAGGCACCTAAAAAATGGCATCTTTTACGCGGCATTGTATATGGAATAATAAGCCGTAAGAATAAACCCTATATAGTGCTTTGCCATCCGAGGTTTGTGTAAATATATTAGCCACGAGACGACGTATAAATCGGTCCCTCTGAATAAAATCTGATTTTGGATGACAACAATAAAATGAATTCTTTCACGTGGATATGACAGGTTGTTAAAGAATTGAATTTAAAAAGTTATCTTTATTTATGTTATTTTAAAACTTAGCAGTCTTAAGCCGCGCGCTGTCTATGTTGAAAAGTCCAAATGCACACGAAGTTCTTTCACGTTTCTAATTAAATTCCTCCTGCAGTAAAATCCGCTAGATTGGTGGGAGCAGGTGAAATTTAACTGTTTCTTTATATCGAGGTGTTTAACAGGATACAAAATCGTTTGCTTTAATTCATTTTACAATTGGAGGCATGTTCGACTTCAGGATATTGGAATAAAAGTCCTTCATGTGAAAAGTCATGTCGAATGAAGAAAGCTGGGTTTTCTACTATAAGAAACAACAGACCATTCCAAACATGTAAGATTTTTATATTTAGTATTTTATTCTGCTCATACGTGAACATGTGTATATAAACATTTGTTTTAATTTTTTAAATAAAATATTTTTATTTTTTGTGCGTGCACTGCAGTCATAGCTTTTAAGATCACGACATTTATGTTGAAATCATTTTGATTAACAAAATTGTCTTGACCATTTTACAATGTATATTAAAAAGTGTATTACATGCAAGCTTTATTGATGCTCTTTATTTAATTTTCAAAACGATTTTGAAAAAGAAAACGGGCCAAACATATTCAGTATGTCCCATTAGAACCCTTCGGAAAACATTTATTGAATGTATATAAAACATCAATATAATCAATACATCTGGAAATGCATTCTAAAAAATCAGAGATTTTCCTGAATAATTAATGTAGGAAAACGTCAAGCTAAAATGCTTTGAGAATTGAAACGGCCATTCTACCTTTCCGTTTCTCCTGAAAAGCGCATAATGAATCGATGTGTTTCTAAAAGCTTGATTTTAAGCACGGAGATCAAAGATAAGCGTTTTGTGCACAATGACGCCCTTTCAAATATTATTAATATTTTGATCGTTTTGTCACAGTTAAATCAATGAAAAACCTAGAGCAAACATGCTTTATCTCAAAGTGATTCAAAACACCACTTTTTGGCATCTATCGAAAATCCTTTAATTCTACTAATGGATGTGTTTTCACTTGAAGATTTTTTCAACAGCATTTTTTATTTTGTGATTTGAAAAAAAAGGCTATTCGTCTTCAAACATTGACATCCATTTGATTTCGCCCAAAATTAACCGACTACTTATTTTTTCAGATTACGATCAAATTCGTAAAATGATTTTAACAGGAGAACAGAGAGACAAACGACTTGCGGTCTCCAAATTACCGCTTCGTCTTTCACAGGAGACACAGGAACAAATGTCTAACTTTCACCGGATGATTTTCTATAATCTAAAGTTTAAATATATATACGATCTAATTTAGATAGGCTCAATATCTGTTTAAATTTTCCATTTAATACCATTGTTTGCTTAGACCAACAAGGATAGCCCTAACGTCTATAGACTAATTAGAAAGCACGATAAATATACTAGTAGGTATAGAAATTCATTCAACAATTCATATCTTTATTACAAGGATCTAAGCACCACAAAACTGCCAATATTCGGGGAATGTACCGGATTTCATATTCGGTTTTTCTTAACCTTTTCTAATGAATTAAGGCTGAAAGACACTCTTTATAAGAGAGATAACTCTTTCGGATAAATGTTTATGTACGAGACATTTGCCGTTTTTGAGTAATTATATTCTTTAAGCTATGTTTAATTTTTTTTTTTATTTTACTCCTATAATACGTATACGTTTCTTTTCAATAAGCATTTTATAAATCAACATATATTAGTACAGAGGAATTATGAACCTTAACATTATCATAAGGGCCATGGATTGTTTCCGAAATTTCTTGACTTGGAAACATTTTGTAATTTGAAACATCTCTATATCCGAAGATATGTATGATTCCTCATGCCACATAATGTCACCACAGCTTTATATCATTTAGGACAGGACACCACTTAAATTAAAATAAATGCAGAGACGAAATACGCCATTCATTAAAAATACCTAAAATATTTTTTAAAATACATAACAGATCAAAAACTAGTTAAATGGCGTTTCAATGTGCTCTTTCCCTATGCATAAAAAAATAAGCAAAATAATGGGGGATGGGGGTCCAACCAATTTTAATTTGAAAAACGGAATGTTCGCAAGTTGAAAATAACATTAAAAAATCTTATACGGCATCCAGCCCTTTAAAATACTTATTGTACAAGGCACAACAGGTCTCATCATGAAAAATAAATATCATAAACATGTAATTCATTTAACGTATTTAAAAAAAAAGCTTTTTACACATATGATCTATAAATAATATATAAGGATTTTTTGCAAGTAACGCTATAAATTTTAGCTTTAAAGATCTCGTTATCGAAAGAGATAGCCGGATTTTCATGTCTCAAAAAATGTTATTTCTATAATTATCTTACAATCAACTAGAGTCAAACTCTTATCGGAAGATAAATAAAAGTTACACATATTTTTACAAATCATGGCGACAGGGAAATTCTGCTCAAAACATCTTAGTGAGAATGTCTGACCTGAAAATTGTTGCGTCTCCAGGACAAATCAATAATATTTTCGAAAAGACAGACTTTAAAGAATGACTTATAAGTGAAGCATGTCATTAGTTTTTGATATCTAAACGAAATGAGTAGGTGGAATTCAATATCTTTTGGATTTTAATATTAACTGTTTAATGGTAACAGTTGCTCATCTCAGAATTTTAATATATAGGCTCTGGTTTGAAACTATGTTATGTTAGATCTATTTCAATATAAGTGAAACATGAATATAAAAAAGATATTGATTTCCAGATACTTACATCGAAACTTTACTCTTGTTTATACATGATTTTTTTTTAAACAAATGTATTAGAAAAAGATTTTCAAACTTGCGTTTTATTTATGGGGGATATGTAAGAACCTTATTGAATACAGTATATGTATTATGACCAGAAACCTGAAATGCATTCTGGCTTTAAAATCATAAACTAAGAACAAACTTAAGTAAAAATTAGAAATCGATTTAAATTTTGAATTAATTTTGATAATAAAACACAATTCTCTACATTCCTGAGAATTTATTTATTACACAAACCTGGAATTTTTTTATGAACATATGTAACCTAGAATTCAAGCTTATATCAAAATCAAATTTTTGACTTAAGTCTGTTAACATTTCATGGTTTTGAGGCTAGGTTTGAACGCCTAGAACTTCTAATAATGGATGCTTAAGCTATTTTCGAAACAAGTAAATTATATTAGTTATAACTTTTCTTTTTAATTTTTAGAGATCGTATGCCCATACACCATTTGAGTTGCCCAAGAGAGAGGAAGCGAATAATCCGGGTATCCAACAAAAACAAGAAGTCAGCAGAAGACATCGAGGAGAAAGAAAATGACAGACGACATTCGTCCTTCCAGAGGAAACGGCTGGATTCTGACCAGCTAGACTTGGAGCTTCGAGTGTCAGATACTGACAGTGATAATGAGGGTACAACGTCAACAGCCAATTTTCCAATTCCATTTCTTATTTAATCATTGAATTTCTTTGATTATTATTAATGTCTACAGTAATTTTGAACATCGCGGCGCAGTGGTTAGAGCGTCTGCTCTAGAGTCGCGTTGCAATAAGTTGAACTTCACGTCGCGGGTTTAGATCCCGTTGTGGGACGTGGAGACCGGTCCTTCAGTTGAGACCCTATAAACCGAGGTCCCGTGCACGAAAAAGATCCACTGCTCAATGGCCCTAAGTGTCGACACTGGCGCTGGTAAAACGCTATTTTTGATTAAACGTTCCTTTTTACATTATAGTGAATACCTAATATCAAATATAGTATTTTGCCGGCCCCTGTGAGTACTGAGTATAGGACAAAATTTGCAGCTCTCCACCAGCAAGTGGTGATGTTTCCATATGCGTGAAAATTCTCGAGAGGGACGTTAAACAAACATTTCTTCATTGAAATTCTTTTATTATCATTATTGTCCGCAGCTTGTATATTTTTTAACTCATAGTACAGGGAACATTTGAAATAGTTCAGTTCCCTAAAGATAAAAAACTCTTAAATATGTTCATCTTTGTTTTCTTATGTGTCTTTCACTAATTAACAATTTTTAATTGCCAATGAGTACATCACTAATTAGTCATATACTCATTGGCAATTGAAAATTGTAAATTAGTGATAGACAAATGTATATTCTGTAAAAGTTAAACTCAATACAAATGTATACGTGAAAACGTTAACAAACAAACAAATCAATTCCTTCTTTACTCTTCTTGTTATTCCTACCTACTTGGTTTGACCTCCCAACTCCACCCTAACATTTCTCCAAAACTCTTTCACAGATAGTGGTCTGAAATATGATTTCGTGGTATCGTATATAGTTATGGCCATCGAGCAGCGAGGAATCATTTTTCCATGGCATATGTATATGTTGGTAAACTTTTCCCGAGTACCATGAGATTTGGTGCCGAGCGAAGCGAGGGACCAAATCGAATGGCGAGGGAAAAGTTTAACAACATACTTAGTACATGCTTCACACGAGAAATTAAACCCTTTGTGTCTCTGTCTATTTAATTAAACATCTTTGTGTGTTTCTTATTATTTAACCAAGATAAGGATAGTTTGACCCTGACTGTTGCCATTTTGTACAGGCCCAGATGTGATAATTATACCCTAGGGGTAATATCTACCTGTCAGGTGACGGTCTACAGTGAGTAGTTTTCAAACACAATACAGGACTGGTTCAATAGAATCTCTGTATGAAGATGATCATGTCATTTTGATGGATTTAAGTCAGGAGGATTTTATTTTTTGGAGATTATTAAATATTTGTGTTTGGTGGTAAAATTGATAAATTTCTCCTGAAAGCAAAGAATTCCACTGAAATTGAAAAGCAGAAAAAAAGAAAGGTTTACGGCTGGATATACATGCATGCGCGGATCTAGAGGGGGTTGGGGGGGGTCAAATTTACAAGGTTAAGAAATGTATATACTAAAGCAAGCAAAAATTTACCTTGGACCCCCCTTGGAAAACGCTGACCCCCCTGGTAAACATGAATATGTGCGAAATGGGTATGAAAATGTAAGGATTTGAGGCATTAGAAGACATAGACCCCCCCCCCCCCGCCCCCCGAAATAGGTTTTTCACGTTTGGGCGAGTTTTTTTTTCTTTTTGCTTGTTAAGAAATTTCTGGGATTGGATTTTTTTTTTGATTTGGGTGGACCCCCCCCCCCCCTGGAAAAAATTTCTGGATCCGCGCCTGACATGTGCACTACTTGAGCATATAGAACGGTTTTAACGAATTTGAACTTCTTAAAAACAATCATATTTAGACTTTTTGCTGTTTCCCAATCAGTCCATATCTGTTTAATTGGAATAAAAGAATAAATTAGTAAATAGTACGTAAAATTTTATTTCTCTCTCTTCTCAATGCGAAAATTCTGATTAAAGTATCAATGTCAATGGTAAATCCTAAAAATTCAATCAATTATTAGACATTTCTTAATGTTCTCTTTTACTTTTGATTTTTAAAATTATTTTTATTTTCATGTTTTAATTTTGGCTAATGTTGAATAATTCAGGAAGAAAAGGGGAAGAGAAAGGGATCTTTCATCGTGTACAAATTTATGTAACTATGTAGATTTTTTTGACTATGTAGCACATCAGGGTCTATTATTCATTGTCTGGTGACCTTGTCCTGTGTCCATGAATGTAATGACCTATCATTGGTATTGATTTGCTCAATTATTATGCACACAATAGAAGAGTCACCCAACCATGTAGCTTGGGCTTAGGGTGTACCAAGTGATTTGGTACATGCAAAAATCCTTTGTTCGAGGTGTGAAGCATGTACTAAATTCTCTTTGGTCTATATGGACTTACAATGAAGCGCATTGAAGTGGTAAACTTTTCTGTTTGGATGAAACGTTCTGAGTCATGTTTTGAACGTCAATATTACAGAATGACACGCCCATTTCTTTAGAAACGTACAAGAAATATTCGTCGTAATGTTTTAGGACACCTCACTCTTTGGAAAAGCAACATGAGTTTCACTGAAATGGAGATTTTTAAAGTTATAAGAGAGATTTAGAGAGTTCTAACTTCTATAAATCACGTATTGCAACGAATTTGTAAATAATTATGAATTTATCATGTTTGTTGGAGTTTCCATAACACATGTATTGGTCGAACACGTGCGTACTCTGTGTTTATGTAGACCGTCAATTTGATTGGATATTATATTTTTGGAATACCTGTTCTACAGGTATTCCAATGAACCATTCGACCGATTTTTACTTTCTAAAGAAATGGGCGTGTCATTGTATGACAATCAACGTTCTAAAGATAGCTCAAAACGTTCCATTCAAACGGGAAATTTTACCACTTCAATGCGCTTCATTGTAGTAAACTTTTCAACGAAAATGATTCTTCACTACCCAATGGTCATATTAATGCCTTTTATACATGCAATTATTCATGCAAAAAAATTAATCGTAAACGCATCACATTTGGCTTTGTTTTCTTTTTAGCGCCTATGGCGGAATGTAACTTCCGCCAAGAATCCAACTTCCGCCAATTCAAGTACAACGCTAAACGTCTTGCTCTTATATACATAAAGAACTTTCACAAATGTACACCAATAATGTAACCTGGTCAAAAATCAATTTCTACCAAAATATACCACTCTAAATATAATGCAGCGGTAACTGATGAAGACTTTTTTATCTTTATAAACAGAGGGTCAGGAAGATGACAGCAAAATAAGTCAGCAAGTCTACGTCAACGCTTGTAAGCATCTCCACGTCACGCCAGGTAAGAAGATATTACGTAGTTTGGGATCCACGCAAGTGTCGGCGAAGGAGCGGATCGTGAATCAGAAAGAGGTGGAGTCCATTGCATATGCCCTTGCCGTAAGTAATAATAACTTTTTAAGTATATGCCTATGATATACAGTTTGTACTTATTTTAGCATCATTGAATACTTATGCATGTGTATTAAACTGGTAAATTCTAGGAAATATCATAATATTTTACTAGTATCGATCATAAAATTCAATCTTATATAGATCAACTCAAGATTTTCTGCTAAAAGTTTCTTTATTTGCTTAATATTCTTGTCATTCATTTCTCCCTAATACAAATGTTTGCTTAAACCAACGCATTCAAATTTTGTACTAACCGTTGCTTTTTGACCTTGTAGTACAGTTCAAATGTAACTAATAGTATATTCTTTAATATATTTGTTTCTACTTTCCATTTTATTTTATCATCTAACCAAGGGGAAAAATCTTGTAAACAAATAAAATAAAAGTACAATTTCTTTTGTTTCCAGACAAATAGCTCCGTGACGTCTTTAGATTTATCCGGAAACAACATTGGTCACGAGGGTCTCTTGAACGTCTTGCGCATGCTCGACGAGAACACTAGCATCACCTACCTCGTAAGTTATAAGGAGTAATTACATCGGTTTTGCTTTTTAAATCCTTTAAACGTTGTGTTACCTGTGAACGTTTGAACAGCCGAAGAGCAAATGTACCAATCTGTGTATCGAGTTTAAATATTTACAATAATATTCAAATAAAAGTGCCATTTAAATGAATCCAATTAAACAGAAAATATTTGTAGCATGTTATTCAAATAAAACAAGTAAACTCAGAAAGTTACATACAACTGTAAGGTTATATTTGATTTTTTTAAAAACAAAAACCAGTCAGTTTTATTATTATTATTATTATTTTGGTATTAGTTTAGATGACCTCAGTGTGCAAAGGGGACTTAGATCAAGTATTTCAGGGAAAAATTTATTACATTTTGTGTGGAAGAAAAATGAAAAGCCATAAAATTGAATAGATTTCAAATTAATCAGTTATTTTGTTTTTGGAGGTCCGTGTTTGCTCTGCTCTTTGAATACTGTTCGTCTCCATATGTTCCATTCTTCTTAATCCCATTACTAAGGTGCTAATATGACGAATTGAAACATTAACACAATTTGTTAAACTACATGAAGTATGATTTTTTTTTTTAAAAATCGGCATTATTCTCACTACTTATAACTTAACACAAAATCCATAACTATTTTTCAAATTACTGGGCAAAGCATCTACCCAAAGCGAAGTCAAGAATTCTGAATCGCTCCACATACTCAGTAACGAGGAATGGAGCTGATCAAAAACCCTTGACTTGGGAGATGAGCAAATGAGGGTTAAGGAAAGAAAACTATAGCATATTGTCTATGAAGAGATAAGCTTTGTGTGCATGCAAGTTTCTATGTTATATTCAATATTTAAAGAACATCTCCAAAATGCATCAAAATGTGATGGATTTCCTTTATAAAGTCTTATTATTACTTGGCTTATGCTATTTTGAAGCAGAAAAAGGGAAGGAACACAAGGAGAAATTAAACAAAGGGAAAGGAAATGTTAAAGTACTTCATGATTTTAAAGTGCAAACCATTCGATTTGATAGTTAATATAATACACTTAATTTTGATTTCAGAACATATCTCATAACAAACTAGGCTCTAAAGCAGTGTCTTTACTCCAAGACTTGATCTCAAACAACAAGAAAATCCTGACTCTGGAAGCTGCAGGTAGAATAATATTGAGGTGATATTTTAAAGCATTGTGAGGCCCAGTGGCAATATTGCTTATCCTAATTTCAAGTCTAGCTTTCTGATAAATTAACGTTTAGATAAATGAACCATGATCTTCTTCAATTCCAAGATTTCAGGAATTGCAATCAACTGTTTTTGATGCTTTAATCACTATGTAGCTTTGCTGTTCTTATAAGAAATGATACATGTATATTTTGATCTTCCTCTTCATGGCCTTTCCTAGCAAGAACGAAAGATTTATTTACCTACTGTAACAGTGTGACTTTTTTCAAGGTTTTGCACAGCACACATTTTTTTCCTTATGATGAAATTGACTAATCGAATTAATTTCCATTGACTAACAGTTGTAAGTTGATCCTTTTGAATTATAACTGGTCATTCTTGTGTCTTGAAAAGGGAACCAGTTTAATGACAATGATGCTGAGGCGATAGCCGAGGGGATAAGATCGACAAATACACTGAGGTCCCTAAATCTCAGCCAGAACGCCTTCCAAGAGAAGGGAGGAGAAGACATTGCAGAGGCAATAGGTTAAAGTCTTTTTTATGCGTAGATAAAGCAAACAAACAAAAAAAAGCGATGGAAAATTTTGTCAGAAATTTGCAAGCAACTCAGTGTGTAAATAATGGCCTAACAATCACTAAGTAAAACGTTAGTCAGCATTTGACTGTGTGATACCTGAAACTGTATTTGCTGACAAGGTCTTTCTATCGACCATAGAACTTACGAAATAATGACTTTAAACGAGACTGCTGATATTCTTGCTTCATCAACTTATTAGTCAGTAAATTACCACGTTTTAGAAAATGTTCATATGTATAAGATGCTCTTTCGTACGTGTATCGAATCAACTGAGAGATCTAAACTCCGTATGCAGATGACAAAGATTTATTACTGCATAAGAAAGGGAAGTTGACGATTGAAAACTTTGTCATCACGTTTACCAGAAATCTTTTTGCTAGATAACCATTAACGTCTTTCTCTTGTAAAAGATCCAAGTATGAAACAGATGTGTCAGATCTTTGGTATCTTTTATTTCAAGCTTACGAGTGTAACGTGTCGACAAGAGAATGGAATCTCGCGGCTATTTTTTTTAATTAAGGTAATGATATTATGGGGAAAAAACCATTCCACAAATATCAAACATTAAGTAATTCCCAGACAACGAGAAGAATAATAAATTTTAAAAACTGGCCATTGCATTCCTATATTTATTGTGAAGAAACTTTCAAGCCCATAATGTTCAAATGCCAATGTCTTTTTCACACAGTGTAATACATCGTTGTTTCATCCGATCGTCAATAAATATCTCCCAGGTAGTTCTACATAGCATTCCAAAAATTCTTTACTCTGTCCTCTTGAAACTTTAATATGGAAAATTCGAAGAATTAATCTAAAGTAAGTCAGCATTTGGATTCTTCAATTCCAGAATACAAGCTAATATTTGTGATTATTGATGTTGCCTTACACATTCTCTTCAAACCGCCATGTATCACGGAAAATAATAATGCCAAAGCAGCAACAGCAAAACCAGATTCATAAGAATAAAATTTTCCAAGAAAGATATTGATGCTGTAATGAAATATTATAGAGATAATGAACAGTGTTCAAACTCAAAAGTCCTTCAAACAATACAAATTGGAGCAGAGAAATCAAGGACCTCCAAAATATCAGAGATGGGATCAGGTGCCATGGAGGAGTGTGCAGTCCCTGTCGACCTGTCACACCCGCCGTGTACTCCTTGAAATGATCGGGGGGAAAAGCCGGAAAAATCTGTCAACAATTCAGTGTGTAAATAATGGCCAAACATATTAGTAGGAAAAACGTCAGTTAGCAATTGACTTAATGTTAAATGTATTTGGTAGAACTTACGAAATGTAAGATTGATTGGAACAGATTTAGTCGTTAACATTTTAATATTCCTCGATAGACACTAATACCATTTTGATACCACTAACACGTGATGGCCAAGAAATTATTTTTAGCTTAATTAAGGTCTTAATTGCAGCAATTATAGGATATCGTGATGAGGAAATTTCAAACAGAATCTTATTCTAAATTCTAGCTTTGAGTTCAGATTGGATGATTTCGAACGGAACTTTGTCAGGTTTATTGCTTTTGAACTGATTATCAAATTTTAAAGCAAATCTTATGTCATTCTTTTTGTGGTTGCACTTTTGAATTTTTGCATTTTTGAAAGTTATTTGTACTTTTAATGCAGGATTTAATAGAACCTTAAAATATGGCTTTTTCTGGAATTCCCGATCTTGACAAGGAGCACAAGGCGCGTGTGAACGGTCGGCAGGGGATGCTCACTTCTCCATGGCACCTGATCCCACCCCTGGTGTTTTAAAGGTCCATATTTGCCCTGCTCCTGTTTTGTATTGTTCGATGTACTTTTGAACTTGAATACTCTTCGTTATCTCCATATATTTCATTTATAAAAACGTTTTTTATTAAATTCTTTGTACATATATAATTTATACCAAATCGTATAACATAATACAGTATAATTAATAAGGATGAGAAGGTAATTGTAGCAATTTATAAGCATTTTTTTTTCTTTTTCAGAGGAAAATGTATCTCTTAAGGAACTTAATTTAAGTTGGAACCATTTAAGACTAGACGGTGCAGTAGCTATAGGGAAAGCCTTAACAGTAAGTCTGGCCTTTAAATGGAATTGCCTAAGAAGAATTTATGTTTAACAAACATTTCATAAAGCATGTGTTTTTGTTTTTGGTAGAATAATTCAACTCTTCAAGCTTTGTATATAGCTTGGAACGGTTTTTCCAATGAAGGATGTAGGGAGATAGGAACGGCATTACAAACAAACAACTCCCTAGAACTAGTCGACCTAAGTAACAACAGAATTACCTTAGAGGGAGCAAAGTGGCTCGCCAAAGGAATCATTGTCAACACAAAGCTCAAGCACCTGAAGGTAGGTCATTTATTGTTGTTTTCTATGTTTCATTATCGAAAAGGAAACAATTTGGGATTATTTTGCTAAATATGATTTATAAAGTAAATTTTAATTAATAAATAGCTCAACATTTTTTTTATTTTAATCTTTTTGCATACTAGTAGTACAGAACTAAAGAAGCCGGTGGCTGCCAAATAGAAAAAAACAAACTATTTTTTCTGGCGGCCACCAGAAACTTATCTGGAATTTTCTGGTGTCCACCTTTCATGCATAAAGGTTTAATAAAATGATTCAAGTTTTGCGAGTCTTTTGAATGTATATACATGTTGTATTGTTGACTGATGATAATGAAGGCTGCGTTTTGAGAAAACTCAGAAATCACACACAACTACATTAAGTATAAGGAGTTGTTTCTCTTCTCATATTAAACAAAATACCCCTTTCAAAATGCATCCTTCAAGATTATGTCTACTGCTTTAGATTTCTTTCAACTGCAAAAATGGCAAAAAAGGAAAAAAGGAGCAGTCATTTATGTAGAAACGGGAAATTCAATAAATTTACTCCATAGTCTTATTTAGATATACTATGAAAAGGAATTTCTTAAAAAAATTAAAATTCACTCTGGCTTAAAATGTAATAATTGTTTGTGCACTGATATAAAGTATCAATATGCAAGGAATAAATGTAATGCAAATAACTTATTGATCTATACATTAGGAATCGAAAATTGTAGCTTCATTGGAAGTAAAGTACTTTGAGATTATTTTTCGAGAAACGTCAAAGTTCTTGTTCTTTGTGATGCAAAATGCCTGAAAAATGCTCGAGTGATCTGTCAAAACTTGACCAGATACTTGTATTTATTGGACGTAAAGACAAACAGACAGACAGAAAAAACAATTACAGGTGGAAACACCCCCCCTTCCCACCTTAGTTGATGGTATTAAGTATATTCTTAAAATACACTAATTTCGCTTGCTTGAACGTATATATTCTTTCTTAAATAAATTTATTTATAAGATGAAAATTTTTCTTTACACCAGGCAGGTGAAACTGAAACCTACCTATTTTTTACAAAAAATATTTTCGCGATTTAAAATAAATCTCATGTCTCAATCCGAGAGGTTAGAATAATAAATTAAATGTGAACCTAAAAAAGCAAACTTTAATGAATTTTAAAATTTAAGTCATGATATGAAATTCTTCTACAGCTGAACCTGAACTCTATCACGACTCTAGGAGCCAAGACGTTATTACTGGCGATACGTGATAACCCTGACAGTGCAATAAATACACTGGAATTAAAGGTAAAGGATACATAATAACCCCGACAGTGCAATAAATACACTGGAATTAAAGGTAAAGGATACGTGATCATCCTGACAGTGCAATAAATACACTGGAATTAAAGGTAAAGGATACGTGATCATAATCCTGACAGTGCAATAAATACACTGGAATTAAAGGTAAATGATATGTTTTAGAAGTAGACTAGAGTAATATTTTTAGATTTGTAAAAAAAGCTCAAATTAGGAATATTTCAATGGGGTTTTTTAAATTAGCATTTGAAAGTGCCAAAAAAAAAAACATGGTGCTATCTTACATTTTATTCTATATTTTTAGTAAAGGAGAGAAGGCAGAAGTTTTCCCTTTCCTTCTTCCATCCCTTAAATTTTCAGCATTTTTTATTTTCTGTTCTCGGTTTGCATGCACTGTCATATCATTTGTGAAATTCATGATTCGAAGAAAAAATTTGGGGCCCTTGGAAAAGTTGGTTTCGATGTTGAAGAAGAATACCGTTTTTACATGCTGGAATTTGTTGAAACACTTCCATTCTTTGCATGGTCTTCATTAAACGAAACAATGAAGAAGAATCCCCGACGAAATAAGCTATTTCGTAGGGTGTTATTTCTGTAGTTATTAATTTAGAGTATTTTTTTCATTATCATTTTTTATTCGAAGGAGGTTCCAGTGCTGGAGGAGGCAATTGACATCATAGAAGAACTGAAATCCTCCCGGAACCGCTTTGTAGTGGTCCACGATGTTAAAGTTCTTTCGGAAGATGTTCTCAGTCTCTCAGAATCCCTGAATAAACCACGAAGAAAAAAGTCAACGAAAAAGAAGTCAAAATCTAAAGTAAAAAAATAGTCTTCATTGCGAATTGTACTTGAAGTATTTGTTTTGAATAAATCTTATTTAAACAATCGTAGTCTTGTGTTCTGATATCCTTTTGAAAATGAAATATATGGAGATATTGTTTAAACCCAAAATACCATAAAACAATACAAACTTGGAGCAGAGCAAACACGGACCTCCAAATCATCAGAGATCGTATCAGGGGCAAATTAGGGGATTCATCAGTAACATCCGCCATGTGCTGCTTGTCATGATCCGTAAATAACGGAAAGTCTGTCGACAATTCAGAGTGTATATCATGACATAACGCTTGGTATGAAAACGTCTGGCAGAATTTTACTTAATGATAAATTGTATTTGCTTACAAGGTCATCGTATCGACCATAGAACCTACGAAATGATGACTTTAAAGGAGACGGCTAATATTCTTGTCTCAATAATTTGTATGTCAATAATTTACCTCGTTTTAGAAATTGTTCTTACGTAGAGAATGTACTTGCGTATCAACTGAGATACATACACACCGTATGCAGGTGATGAAGGCGCATTGCTGCATAAGTAAGGGAAGTTAACGATTGAAAAAGTTTAAGTCATCACGTTTATCTTAATGCTTGGTAGTTAGATAACCATTAACGTCTTTTCAAGTAAAATATCCAAATATGAAACAGATGTGTCAGACCCTGTGGTATCTTTTATTTGTGATACTGAATGATATTGTCTTCTGGATTCTGTGAAAATTGCATGAATTGCAAAAATTTCTTCCTAAAAACCATACCATATTTACTCTATTACTAGACTTATATTCAGTATTGAATAAGGTAGAAGGGATTATTAATCGGAAATCATAAATTAAAAAAAAAACTATCTAAAAACTGCAATCGTAGAACAATTATATAGTTAAACGATATTTTTTTGCTTTGAATAATTAAAAAATAAAAATTGTGGAAAAAATTTATATAAGATGAAAAAAGAAAAAATAAAACGAATAAAACAATAATTTGTAACCTTTAAAATTGATACTGTCTGCATATAAGTTTGAAAATTTGCATAATTTTACCTAGAAATAAAATGTTTTTAAAAAAACAATTTTGAGACGTAATGGCTATTATTTTCTTATTTTGCTAACATGAAGTTTTTTTTTTTAATTTCATGTTAACTTCTTTATCCAGTGGATACTAGCTAGCCACTTGATATCCCAAAGTGACGTTACTTTGGGTTTAGCGTAAGAGTCTGATCAGAAGTAAAATAAAATAGATTCATATGTAAAAACAATGTAAACATTTATAGTGATGTATAAATCACGGTATAAAATGAATTTCCTATGATTTGTGGTTGGATTTGATTTTTATCCCAACTTGTTATGTGTGTTTCAATCACTCCTTGGATAAAATCAATTCCAACCACAAATCATGGAACATCCTATATTTATCCAGTGAATAGTATAATTATCATTCTTTGCCTTTTTGCTGAAAATTTATCCTGGGAGTTTAACATTCATGAAATTCTGACGATATCTTGAGAATCTCTTAGATTGATCGTGCTTGATTGTATATACTGTTTAACGTCCCTTTCGAGAATTTTTCACTCATATGGAGACGCAATCACTTACCGGGGAGAACTATAAATTTTGTCGTATACTCGGCACTTAAGGCCAATGAGCAGTGAGGGATCTTTTTGTGCCAACACCTACTGCGACACTGGAACTCGGTTTATACGGTGTCATCCGAAGGACCGGTCTCCACGTCCCACAGTGGGATTCGAACCCGCGATGTAAGGATCGACTCCTTACTTCGCGACTGTACAGCAGACGGTCTAACCACTCCGCCACGCGGGCGACTGAATCCCTTCGAGTCCTCGAATAAGACATGTAGAAAAAAAATTCTATAAATCTAAATATGATTTTTAAAAAGAAATTTTGATTAGAATTAAATTCAATATAATAACCATTTGATTGTGTTCAAGAATATACATGCTTTAAATTGGTAATCTTTTAAAAAAGAACAATTGCAGTTTATGTATTATTTATATGTATGTATGTATGTGACAACGACCGCGAGTTAAGTGGTTAAACCGAACTTGATCGATACATCACGGATTTGAAAGTCTACGTGTACAAGAAAATTAAGTTGTAACTAATTAATATGCAAATACAATTCATTACACAAATAAAGTGATTGACCTAACATGAAAATTATCATTACGTCATTAATTCTCATTATTGTTTTATATTGTACAGCTAGCGTGGGTTTTGTTTGGCAGGATTTTAGGTGTTATTGATATTTAGGAATAAAAAATTCTAGATGCATTTAATTTTAAATTTGATATATCAGAATAATACGTCATCAGAAATAAATGCAAAAACCAGCCTAGCTATTTTGGTCCAATTTACCCATGGGACCATTATTGATAAAAATTTGAATCTATACTATCTGAGAATGTTTTCATCTAAATATAACTTACCATGGACCTAAGGCCAGTCTATTTTAGAATTAGCTCCGTGGACCTAGTGAAAAAAAGGTTAATATTGATCGTTCTCTAAAAAGATTGGAAACGATGAAAAAAAAAGTGAACATGGAATAAAATATGGACCCCCAGAAAAATCTAGGGGTGGGGTCACGAGCAAGAAGAGCAGGCATCACATCTCCTGTCGAGTGGTTACTTTTGCCCTGAGTCCCATGTATTTTTCAGGTGTGGGATATTGCGTTGTCAAATTTAGAACAAAAAAGGTCTAACAATTGATTGGGGACAAAAGTAAGGAAATATATAATCCAATGTTAGATGACATTTTCTGACAAGATCATTTTACAGGTATTACATTAATATCATGTCAAATTCCAGCAGAAAAGTTCACTTGAACCTTTAGGTCAGGTTGGTTACAAGGGAATTTATAAATATCATTTTTAAAACATGCTTAATGTGTAAATCATGTACGAAAATAAATTAAAATAACTAAATCATAACATTTGATAAACTTAGACAAAATAATTGAAGAAAAAACAAAACGTGGGACTTCCCCGATAATAGTTGTAAATTCCAATAACAAAATAACAACATTTAATATTCTTACAGCTAGAGAGAAAATTTAAACAAAAACATAGATTTTACTTGGTTTTTACGACAGGTAAATTTAAAAATATATATTAGTATATTTACATCTGACAACAGAATACAGGTATATTTATTCATCCTCGGTTTGTAGGCATTTTCAGTGTGTCTTAAATTTGACGACAAATGAGATCTATTACGTTTTACCACATTCCATTGTACATGAAAACTAGATCCGAAAAAAGGAACTTCTGGGTTTTCCAGGAAGACATAACTATTTACAAATATCGAATGCTATCCTTTATTTATTTTAATACAAAGCAGATTTTTATATTCCCCTAAGGTTTTATCTGATTTTTGGTGACATACATGCTCTTTAACATTATAAAAAGAAATTTATTTAAAATTTTGAAAATTATTTTATATAAAAGAGTGAAATAATTATTCGCAATTTCACTAAGTTAACAAAGACTTAAAACAGCAGAGCTAATAAAAAAGAATGACATACTTAAGACTGCTAGAATTTAAAAAAAAAGCCATTAGAATTTTTAATTTTAAAAATATATTTTTAAATTTTAAAACCATTTATATGCTCCGATCATCTGCCATATCAACATGTAAGTTGCCCTGTTTTGATAACAACAAACAAAGTTACCACTGGATCTTATTTAGCCAGCTAATTTTCACATACAAATCCACATCAAATTCGTATTTAAATGTTACCATAAATAAATTTTCCTCATCTCTCCATAGTACTAGGAGTCACTCGATAGATTATTCTGGGATAATTGAAAATAAAAAAAAAATGACGGAACTTGACTTGGTTAATCGGGATCCCAACAATATAAATGATCACCTGAGGGTAAGTTTTTTAAAAGTTACAAAAATTCTAAGTCATATCTTTGGGTTTGTTAAGAACAGATCTGCGTACAATAGATTTTTTTCTTAATAACTTTGAAAAAAGTAAAATACAATCATCCATACTGAAAAGCAATTCTATGTTGTTGTTTTTTTCTAAATCTTTATTTATCTCGTGAGCATTTTTGTTTTCTATACAATCACTATTTTATTTCAGGAATTAATGTAATCAACGAAAATATATACGGTGTAAAATACAATAAAAATGCAATGACTGAAAATTTTACTTTCCAAAATGATATTTTAATTAATAAAACAAATAAAGTTTTTCTTTTTAAAAAAACGCAATTTGTAAAACTTTCACCTATCTAAATTCATTTTTGAACACAAATTATTATTAACAACGTATCCTAGTGGAAACTAAGAAAGAGGGTACAATTATGGGAATTCTCTTATGAGTATATGCTTCTAACACATTTTGCATTTGTATTTAAATTTTCAAAACTTTTTAAATTTTTATTTCACTTTTGATAGGTTCAGTTTGAAGATGTTTTGGGTGAGCCAGAAGGAGCTCGCAGTATTGATTGCGTGTGGAAACTTTCCTACAAATGTTTCTCCTTTTGGAAATCCCTTTGTTACGTCATCATGACGACATGCTGTGGAATATGCCTCGCAGCAGAATGGGGATGCCAGTTTTCCTACATCTCCTTTTTACACGTCTGGTACATAACTCCATGCTTCAAGATCTTGGAATTGAATTGTGGATTCCTTCAGAAGCTTTATGGTCTCTGTATCCATTGTTGTCTCGACCCCATGTGTGAAGCTTGCGGACTGATATTTCACAAGTTCCAGAGGAAATGATCTTGGATCCTCTCCAGACTTTGGTTGAGAACAGACGTTTTACTTTAACTGTAAAAATGTTTTGCTTCCTGTGAAACTATTAAATAAATCTTGCTGTAATTCATCTTAGCTAGCCAAGAGTACGGTTTGTTGGATACGAATCAGGCACTTTGCTTTTTGTGATGACTATGATTATTGTATATAAAAACAATTTAATAAAAGGAATGATAAAAAATGGGTTTTCCTTTATCCATCGTTATAAGGAAGTCATTAGATATTGAACTACATCATGAGGGTTCTTTACCCTAACTGAAGGATATTTGAACTCTTCAACGCAACATATTTTTTCTTATGTGATCTGTAATTCGTTGTTTTATCGTCATCTTAAACTACATTAAATCAATTCCGTCCGCCATAAAGGATGAGAGCCATGTAGAGAAATATAGAGATAACGAAGTATTCAAGCTCAAAGTCCTTCCAAACAATACAAATCGAGAGCAGGCGTAGGGAAAACACTGATCTCCAAAAACATTTCTCTTGTTTGAGATATAGATATAAAATAGAGTATTCCTTTCCTTTTATCAAAATTTTATCATATTTATGAAGAGGTATTGTACAGTGAAAACCGTGTTATTTGACACCTATTTCACTGTGATTTTTTTATTCTGTGCATTAAATATCTTTATATTGTTAAACTGTCTCTTACAATACGAAATCCCACACCCTGTCTTTTATGGCACAATTTTTTATACCTCATTGCATGTCAGATAAGCCAGATTACATTGTATTTTTAAAACAAATATATCTCTGAGTTTAATAAAATTTTTAAAAAAATTTTGGAAGTAAAAAGTCCTATCAGATATTTATGGAGTTATAAAATAAAAAAAACATAAAGTGATAAATAATGTCCATACCAAACTCAAACCAGAAAGCTTTCCAAACATCTCTGTTCATTGATTTAGGCTGTTGATTTTGGGGGTATTTTCTTGTGTTTCTTGAAGATATTGTGGCAAGAAATTCAAAAACTTCAAATGCTTCACATGGAGGAACCATAGATTGCTGTGCAAATAGACACAGGAAAAAGCATGCAGATGACAGGGCAACAAGAAAAACAATATATAGTTATCTAGGTTATAAAAACGTGTAGGTGTTTATCTGTTTATGAGTACTCTTCATATTCAGTGTCATTTACAACTCGGTTTCAATGTCTAGTAGCAGGGCGGTTGTTTCGAGATTGCAAGCCCCAAGTTCGATTCTCGTTTGCCGCGCCGCATTAAACTGGAGACGTCAACATAGGTGAAATTGTTCCTTCTTCAAGCGTCCACCATTAGAATTTCAGATTTTGGGTCTTTCGGGCTAGACTCTTAATCTTTTAACGATCTGAGTTGCAGTCTCAATATGAAAAAATAAAATCTTGCACGGAACGTAAATCAGCAATCAATAAAATCAATATTACATTTACCATATCGTGTATACATGTAGGTGTGTAATGTTAGAAAAAATCTACTGAGACTCTTGGCCGCAGAATTAGGAACCAAGATCATAATCTCAACTCATTTAATAAAATTTCAACGATATATAGAAATCAAAAGTTCTAAGTAAACATTTAATCTTTTGTATAGCATTAATGTTTCAAGTGAATGTAATAGCGTGTTTTATTTAGCTCAGTTTTTGTGTTTTCTTTGTATAAAAGATAAAAAAAAAATTTTGTTTTTCAAATGAAAAATGAGAAGCTATGAAAACACAGGACATTAAAGGTAAATTAAATACAACCCTTTTACCAATTTTTAGTTTAAAAAAACAAAATATCAATAAAAAGAATAAAATAAATTAGAAAAAAATTATATTTTATTATTTTTTAATTATATAATTAAAAATATATAAAAAGTGCATTATAAAAATTTTCACCAACAATTCCCCCGTGCTTAATAGAATGCACAACTCCATCCAATTTTAACTGCATATAGTTTTCATAATACACTGCCCATAAACAGTGCAGGTCAGGTCATCTGGCTAATTTTACTGAAAATAAATAATGTTACCAATGGACACTGTAATTCGGCCAGCTAATTCTCATACAAAATCGAGCTCATTACGCGAAGTATTTAATAAATACCACTTATATCTTCAATTTCTCCATATTTTGTCAAGCGATTGTAAGTTGAGATACATTTTTTTTAAAAAGTTCAACGATAATTTGTAAAATGGCAGAATTTGACCTGATTAACAGAGACCCAAACAACATAAATAACCATCTTAAGGTAAGAATAGGATCAATTTTCATTTTAAGAGTAGTATCAATTTTCATTTTAAGAATATAGGATCAATTTTCATTTTAAGAATAGGATTAATTTTCATTTTAATACGTACAAAAGTTGAAAATAATCTCCACGAATATCCTTTATCGAACAAAAGGGTTTCTGAGGAGGAACCAAATATTTTTTTTAAACACTGGGATGAATTTAAAAAAAAATTATGAAATTAATTTTAAATAGCCATTAACTTAAATTTAATTTGCATTTCATTCAATAAACAAAGAATTACATTGGGAACCATGTTTTGGGGTGAAACTTTTCTTTTAAGTGAAGGGCGATTTTTCCGTTTTATTTTATACATGTAATACGATTTTTGATCTCTCAATTCAACCTTAGAAAATATATTGTTCCAAACATTTGATTATTAGGATATTGAATGGTTTTATATTTTGAGTGACGCACTAAAATAAATTTCAAAAATAACATCAATAAGAAATTAAAAATAATTAATGAGAGTATTCCTTTTTAAACCTTCAAATATTTTCTCTTCAGGTACAATTTGAAGATGTATTGGCAGAGCCAGAGGGAGTTCGTAGTCTTGATTGCGTTTGGAAACTCTCATACAAATGCTTCACGTGTTGGAAATCCCTTTGCTACTTCATCATGTCGACATGCTGTGGAATATGCCTCGCAGCAGAATGGGGATGCCAGTTTTCTTACATCGCCTTTTTGCATGTTTGGAACATTACTCCATGCTTCAAGATCTTGGAGCTGAATTGTGGATTCCTCCAGAAGCTTTATGGTCTCTGTATCCATTGTTGTCTTGATCCCATGTGTGAAGGTTGCGGGCTGATATTTCACAAATTTCAGAAAAACTGATCAAGCATTTTTCCTCTCTAGATCTTTCCACTGGGCATTGCTATTTGTTGAGTTGTTATAATTCTTGACTACAAAAAAGACGCAGGTTTTCGTTAAATGGTTAAATAATTGACAGGCAAAATAAGCCATGTATTAGTTTGTTTGATTTTTGTTTATTTGTTCCTTTGTTTTTTCTTAACATTTTAATTTTCGGCTTGCTTTGTAACGTATAATTATTTTATTTATGTGACCATTTGTCCTTTGTAAAATACAAAAATTAGTTAGTCAACTGCATGCTTTGAATTTTTATTTACATGTATTTGTCATCAAGTAATCTTTAATCAATGAAATATGGCGATAACAAACTGTTATCAAACTTACATATACATTAAGGTTCATAAATCCTTTGCTCACTCATTTAAAATTTTGCTTGAACCTTACTGATTTTCCAAAAGGAATGTATTTTAGAAGTAAAATACAAACAATTATAGCATAACTTGAGTCGCAAAATTGGACATAAAAGACACTTCAACTTGGCAAATCTATAAAGGAAGAATAGACATTTATATCACTCAAAGTTATCTCTCTTATCAGAGTATCGATGAACCTTAAAGGAATGTTAATCGGCAGCAAAGGAAACATGGGCTTCTAAAGCAACAGAGGTAGGTTAAGGTGCCATGATAAACTATGCATCCTCTGTCGACCTGTCGCACCTGTCTTGTGCTCCTTGTCTAGATCTGGCCTGGGGGCCATAAAACTTAGATGAGATCACTCTTGGTCTCAGTCTCACTTTTCCACTATATATTCCTTCGGTAAAAGTGAGACTGAGATAAAAAGTGAGCTCATCTAAGATTTATGGCTCCCAGGCCTGATAATCGGATAAATCCGTAGACAATTTAATTTGTACATCATGGCTTCACATATTAGTAAAATTGTGATTTAATGAATTGCATTTGCTGACAAGCTAGGTCGTTGAATTGAGCATAGCACTTGCAAAATATTGACTTTAAACAAAACTTTTTATATTCTTGTGTCATCAACTTTTTCAAAAGCTTGCTTTGTATTAAAAATTGTTCGCTGAACATGCCCTGACGTATCAAATCAACTGATAGACATAAACTCTCCATATGCAGGTGACGTGTATTGTTACATAAATAAGTGAAGTTGATAACAAAAATGATAAAATCATCACTTTTATCCTAAAGTCAGATGTTGTAATGTAACCATGAACGTTTTTTTCCTTTATAGAGAAAAATCAAAATATGAAAATATTTTTTTCAGATTCTGTGGTATTATTTATTTCGAATTAAGAGATACTTCAAATCGACACATGAGAAAAAATTCTAAAATTATAATTGATAATACGTCATCGATATATCTAAATAACGAGTTGAAAGCCATGGAACGTGTCTTCTTATTCTTTTGCTCATGTTTAAGTTTTTGAAAAAAATTCTGCATCATATAAATATGAAAAAAGGGTCTGCTAATAAAAGGATACAACTGAAAATTCCAACAAATTATTTGAAGAAATAACCCCCTCCCAAAAAACCGTATTTATCTCAAGTATATGAAACTCAATCAAATGTTTTCCTGTGATACAAATATCCAAATAGTACGGAAGCCCATTTAGGACCTATAAAAATATTTTTGAAATTTGATATAACGAATTGTCGAATTTGTTATAACGAATTTAATTCATTATATATTAACAATTTCTTTGAATTTGTTATAACGATTTTGATCTGTTATAACAAAGTTTAATTCATTATAACGAATTCTTTAATTATGGAGTTCGTTTAAACGAATTCAAGTTATAACAAGTTTTAGAATCTGTTAAAACGAGTTTAATTCGTATTAACAAATTTTTTGATTATAACGAAATCAGCAAATTTGTTATAACAGATTAAATTCATTATAACGAATTCAAAGAAATTGTTATAACGGATTAAATTCGTTATAACAAATTCGACAATTCGTTATATCGGATTCAAACAATTCATACAAACAATTAAAATTACAGCAGAATTTTTGTTTGCACGTTCACTGACAAGGCTCTGTGAGAGAATGGTGAAAGGCGTGAGAACCCGCGCGCATATCTTAGCATCCGACGGCCGAGCCTATAAATCATATCAATTTACAGAAAAATCTTCGAGAATTGCTTTAAACTCACGGATAAGAAATTTTGGGATTAAGAAACTTAATTGATAGCATGGGTCTGCAGTGTCAGATGTTTTACATAAATTAATTTAAGGATGTAAATTAAATATTTTTCGATAGGTCCTAAATGGGCTTCCGTAAAATAGAAACGTACATATAGTTATATTTAAATTGTGCTGTTTAAGACGATAATGAGGGTAAACAATACTTATTTTATGATATTATGTAACAAATTAGCAGATAATTATTATTTTCTATATTCTGTTCTAATAAAAGGATCGGGTCACAGGAAAAACGAAATCTGAAGGCGTTTATGCATTAATGTAGAATAATAACAATACATTAACTATTTGTAATTTTATCTCGGACTAAGACATTGGAAATATACTTATCATATTGCAAATATTTAATGATAAATTGTATTTGCTGACGTGGTCATTGTATCGACCATAGAACTTACGAAATGATGACAATAAACTGCTGATATTCTTGTTTCAGAAACTTGTTTGTTAACTTGCATCGTTTTAGAAATGGTTTATACGTAGTTCATGCCCTCGCGTATCGAATCAATTGAGAGATATAAATCCCGTATACAGGTGATGAAGTTACATTGTTGCAGAAGTACGTGAAGTTGACGGTTTACAAGTTAAAGTCATCATATTTATCATAAAGCTTGTTTCATACATTACCTTTAACGTCTTTTTCAAGTAAAATATCTAAAAATGAGACCAATGTGTCAGAGTCTGTGGTATCTAGGCAACTAGTTTCCGTGCACATGTTCAAAAAATTTCTATTTTTTCACCCTGGAATCAGATAACACACACACACACACACCCTCACACACACACACACACTCATACGTGTGAAGGGTGTCAAACGGGGACAGGGGTTAAAGACTGTCAAAGTGGGGACTTCTTCATTTTTGATATTACATTGACTTTTGACTTAAAATATTAATCACCATGTAACCCTGATGACAAATATAATGAGAACATATCAATATCTTTAATTTTAAGCTAAGCACATTTCACAGCACAAACGGGGACCTATTTCACACTCATTAATATTCACACACCAGTTCTTGTTTATTGTATCTAAACGGGGACATTTTCCAAAACGAATAAAATCCTCTCTTTTGTGCCTTTTATTCACTCATTACAACTGTTCTCATCACTGATTAAGACCCCTGTCTTAATAGGCACTTGAATGCTTACTATTTTAAATCAAATATGGAAATTACGAACAGTTATTGCATAATGAAAATATATTTTAAATTTTTCTGCTCAAATAATTTTGAAGTTTAGGAATCTGTCTTAAATTTATCAATTTGGCATCACTGACCTCTTTGTCGCAGTGACATGATTAATGGAATTTAAATATGGTGATTGCAACATAGTTTGCAAAATTCAAAGCTACTTCTTTTACATATAATTTATGATTTTCCAAGTTTTTGTTTCAGAATTAGAGTATTGAACAAGAAAAAATATTGTCATTTGACATACTTACAGCTATAAAAAATATAACACAAGATCAGAAGGGGGCGCTGATAATACCACTCCAAAAAATGACCAATTTAAAAAAAAAAAGAAGAAAAATTTACATTGACCTATTGATAATGTTCAGCTATTGAATATAATCGATAAACACTTTAAAATCAAATAAATGCATTTACGTATACGCTTCATTACAGTCGACGACGACTTCTTTAAAATATTTACATTACATTGCATCTTTGATCAGGTACTTTTATTTAAAAAAAAACATTAACTAAAAAATCTTTCAAAGCAAAGACAATTATTCATTTTTTGTTTTACGCAGAAAACCGATGATCCGGAAGTATTATACCTGTGCAGTATTTTTAATGGCACCAAATGTTTATGAAACTAAAGCTAATAATTTTATTTTTTATAAGAAATATACAAATGAACAAAATTATCAGAAATAAAAAACAGGAGTTAAATATGTTTTCCATAACCGTTGCTTAAATTATAAAAGAAAATTTACATGACATTTCAGTTGCGACTGCTGCAAATAGGGTACTTTAAACCAATTAACTTTTTGCAAAATCGTCTGATTGCTTGAGATATGTATACTGTACTCACTACTGTAAGGGCGGGTTCCAGCACCCTCGTCCTCATTGTAAAAAAAAATTATTTCAGAAAGTAGACACTTTTGTTGTAGAGTTGCATTTCCCTCACAGCCAACCCCCATCTGCTCCACAGGGAATCGTACTCTAGAGCAGAATTTCCCTCCAAGAACCACCAGAACCAAATTACTCCTTGAAGTTCTCTCTTTTTCAGAGTAGGATCCCCCATCCCTTGTCATATAGAGAGTAAATATAAACCATAGCCGCATTTATAATAAAATAAACGACAAAAAGATTTTTAAATGGTAAATTAGTGTTTTTCAACTTATGTACATTTAGGAAGTATATATTTCAATTCATCAACCAAAATGTTTAGCTTTCAAAAGAAACGCAAATCTCCCCAGATTAGATGTATTAACACCTCTAGTGGTTCAGCGGTAGATGTATTTTTAATGTTCTTTTTGACAAGGCTGTTTAAAGATTTTTTTCATAGAAAGTCCCTTATTTATGCATACTTTTTGCTACTTATATTTTGCTTGAATCCAATGAACGGAAGAATTGTTTGAGTTCGTATCATGTGAAAACGAATTAATCATTTCATAAATACAGAGTAAGTTATCTCCTTTTATTTCATACGTCTACTGATTTTTTCCTCTATAAAAGTTACGCAGTAAAATGTGAATAATTCCCTAGAAATCTCTGCGAATGGACTTATCCCCGTGAGATAGTTACATATTGTAAATGATCTAATCCCTGCTTCGGAAGTTAATTCCCCGGT